CAGCCTCCTGAGTCGCTGGGATTATAGGCACACGCCACCATGCCCAGATAATTTTTTTTTGTATTTTTAGTAGAGACGGGGTTTCACCATGTTGACCAGGATGGTCTCGATCTCTTGACCTCGTGATCCACCCGCCTCGGCCTCCCACAGTGCTGGGATTACAGGCTTGAGCCACCGCGCCCGGCTGGTGGTGTGTGTCTGTAATCCCAGCTACTCAGGAGGCTGAGGCAGGAGAATTGCCTGAACCCAGGAGGTGGAGGTTGCGGTGAGCCGAGATCGCGCCATTGCACTCCAGCCTGGGTAACATGAGTGAAACTCCGTCTCAAAAAAAAAAAAAAAAAAAAAAAAAGTACAAATATATATATAAATTAGCCTGGTGTGGTGGTATGCACCTGTAGTCCCAGCTGCTCTGCAGGCCAAGGTGGGAGGATTGCACTGAGCCTGGGAGGTTGAGGCCACAGTGAGCTCACACCTCTGGCGGAGCAACAGCAAGACCTTGTCTCAAAAATTAAAAAACGAAAAAAAGGACTGACGCAGTAGTTTATGCCTATAATCCTAGCACTTTGGGAGGCTGAGCTGCGCAGATTGTCTGAAGGTCAGGAGTTTGAGACCAACCTGAACATGGTACAACCTCATCTCTCCTAAAATACAAAAAAAAATTAGCCCAGTGTGTTGGTGCACACCTGTAGTCCCAGCTATTTGGGAGGCAGAGGTTGCAGTGAGCTGAGATCATGCCACTGCACTCCAGCCTGGGCAACAGAGCAAGACAAGACTCTCTTTTTCTTCCCCCCCGCGCCCTGAGACGGAGTTTCGCTCTTGTTACCCAGGCTGGAGTGCAATGGCGCGATCTCGGCTCACCGCAACCTCCGTCTCCTGGGTTCAGGCAATTCTCCTGCCTCAGCCTCCTGAGTAGCTGGGATTACAGGCACACACCACCATGCCCAGCTAATTTTTTGTATTTTTAGTAGAGACGGGGTTTCACCATGTTGACCAGGATGGTCTCGATCTCTTGACCTCATAATCCACCCGCCTCGGCCTCCCAAAGTGCCAGGATTACAGGCATAAGCCACCGCGCCCGGCCTAAGACTGTCTCAAAAAAAAAAAAAAATGTTTTTACATAACCAATCAGGACACAGTGTCTCATACCTATAATCCCAGCACTTTGCAAGGCTGAAGAGGAGGTTCACTTGAGTCCAGGAGTTCATGACCAGCCCACGACATGGCAAAACCATGTCTCTACTAAAAATACAAAAATTAGCTGGGCGTGGTGGTGCATGTCTGTAATCCCAGCTACTCGAGGCTGAGGCAGGAGAATCGCTTAAACCCAGGAAGTGGAGGTTGCAGTGGGCCAAGATGGCTCCCCTGCACTCCAGCCTGAGTGACAGAGTGAAATCTGTCTCAAAAAAATAAAAAATAAAAGATCTAAAGGTAGCTAAATCCTCATATAAGATCTTTTTCTACAAAACGTCAGTACCTTTATAGTGCATAAAGATAGACTTCTATGTGTTAACTTATCAGAATTTTCTGACCATTAGTTGAGCTTTAAGATCCTTTCAGGTAGAAGTCTGAAAAGTTGCATTTAGCACTGTGCCTCGCAGGTATTCTGGTAGCTTTAGGATTTCAAGAATCTACCTTTTACCCCACCCAATAACTGAGAGCATTAAAAAAAAAAAAAAAGACCCTGTAATCCCAGCACTTTGGGAGGCCAAGGCAGGTGGATGACCTGAGATCAGGAGTTCGAGACCAGCCTAGCCAGCATGGTGAAACCCCATCTCTACTAAAAATACAAAAATTATCACACCTGTAATCCCAGCACTTTGGGAGGCTGAGGCAGGTGAATCACCTGTGGTCAGGAATTCAAGACCAGACTGACCAACATGGTGAAACCATCTCTACTAAAAATATAAAATGAGCTGGGCATGGTGGTGGGCACCTGTGATCCCAGCTACTTAGGAGGCTGAGGCAGGAGAATTGCTTGAATCTGGAAGATGGAGGTTGCAGTGAGCCACGACTGCACCATTGTACTCCAGCGTGGGCAATACAGCAAGATTCCATCTCAACAATAAATAAATAAATAAGCCAGGCATGGTGGCAGATGCCTATAATCCCAGCTATCCTGCAGGCTGAGGCAGAATCACTTGAACCCGGCCCAGGGTGGGGAGGCGGAGGTTGCAGTGACCAGAAATCATGCCACTGCACTCCAGCCTGGGTGACAGAGACTCCGTCTCAATAAAAATAAATAAAGGTGCACATGAGATATTTAGGAGGTAAATTGATAAGATTTAGTGACAGATTGGATGTACATGTTAAAGATAGAAAATCTAGAAAAGCTCCTTGCTTTTCAAAAAAATGTTTTAATCAAACATGTGAATTCACCATCCCTCTTTTTCAGATTCGTGGTGCTCTTAATGCCATCAGAAGCTTGGTTCCTGATGCTTTAGAAGGGAAGCCCAAAGCTGTTGTTACTCACAGCAGTGGAAACCATGGCCAGGCTCTCACCTACGCTGCCAAATTGGAAGGTACTTGATGTCTCAAGGTACTGGGTAGATCATCAGAAAGAAGTGGAAAAGTACCCTTAATTTCAGGGAAAGTGATGATAGCTGTAGGAAGTAACTTTCCCAAGAAATCTCTATCTGATTGCAAGCTGTTATGAATGTAAGTTTCTTTTTTTTTTTTTGAAGACAGAGTCTTGCTCTGTTGCCCAGGCTGGAGTGCGGTGGCGTGATCCCAGCTCACTGCAGCCTCCACCTTCCGGGTTCAAGCAATTCTCCTGCCTCAGCCTACTGAGTAGCTGGGACTACAGGTGTGCACCACCACGCCTGTCTAATTTTTCTATTTTACAAATACAAAATAATAAATTCACCATGTTGCCCAGGCTGGTCTGGAACTCCTGGGTTCAGACAATCCACCCGCCTCAACCTCCCAAAGTCCCAGGATTATAATCTGAGCCATCACACCTGGCCAAACTGAAGTTTCTATTCTTAATTCTCCTGACTTGTAGTAACCAAACGTTTTCCCCTCCCAGGGATTCCTGCTTATATTGTGGTGCCCCAGACAGCTCCAGACTGTAAAAAGCTGGCAATACAAGCCTATGGAGCATCAATTGTATACTGTGAACCTAGTGATGAGGTAAGGAGAGCAGTGTTTGATACCACCTCAATAGCTTTCATTTGACCAGCTGCTTTCTGCCTCACCGGCTGCTCCTTCTGTCTCCTGTGTTGTTTCCTCTTCACTTCTGTTAGCATGCTCAACCTTTTCTCTACCTACGCTCAGATGATCTCATCAGTCTCGCTGCTTAAGTGATTATGTGGTCTATCACCTCCAACCTCTCTCCCCTGAACACCAGACTTTTATATCCAACAGCTAACTAACTTTCCCACTTGATGTCTTTTTTTTTTTTTGAGATGGAGTCTCGCTGTCACCAGGCTGGACTGCAGTGGCAGCCACGTCAGCTCACTGCAACCTCCGCCTCCCAGGTTCAAGCGATTCTCCTGCCTCAGCCTCCTGAGTAGCTGGGACTACAGGTGCGCCCCACCATGCCCGGCTAATTTTTGTGTTTTTAGTAGAGACAGGGTTTCACCATGTTGGCCAGGCTAGTCTCAATCTGTTGACCTCATAATCTGCCCGCCTCGGCCTCCCATAGTGCTGGGATTTACAGGCGTGAGTGACTGTCCCTGACCCCTCTTCATCTCAAATTACATCGAAAATCAAACTCCTGATCTTACTTCCCTATATCCCTTCTCTTCCAGTCTTCCTCATCTTAGTAAATGGCAACTTTTATTGGTTTTTTTTTCTGAATTTTTTTTTCGTTTTCTTTTTTTGTTAGAGATAAGGTCTTCCTATGTTGTGGGATCTTCCTGTTTCGGCCTCTTGAGTAGCTAGGACTATAGGTGCATGCCACCACACCTAATTAATTCCTTTATTTTTTGTAGATAATGTCTCATTGTTGTCCAGGCTGGTCTCAAACTCCTGGGCTCAAGCGATCCTCCCACCTTGGCCTCTCAAAATCCTGGGATCACAGGCATGACCCACTGCACACAGCCAGGAGTCATCTTTGATAACCCTCTCACACCCCACATTCAAATCTTAATCCTGCTTTCAACGTATTTCCATAACCCAACTACTTCTATGTCTACCATTGCCAGCCCAATTCAAACCAGCATCAATTCTCATCTAGATTCGGTAGCCTAACTGGTCTCTCTGCATCCACCCTTGCCCCACTACAGGCTTTTCTGAGCAACCAGAGCTCTCCATTAAATAAAGTCAGAACTTGTCTCTTTTCAAGTCAAAATTCTGTAATGGTTTCCCATCTCATATCCAGTGGAAACCAGAGTTCTTACGATCATCTAAGCCCTGGATGAACTCAAACATTCCTAACTTTTTGACCTCATCTTCTTTTATTTATTTGAGACAGGGTCTTGCTCTGTCCGGCCCAGGCTGGAGTACAGTAGTTGGATCTCAGTGCACTGCAGCCTCCATCTCTTGGGTTCAAGAGATTCTCATACCTCAGCCACCGGTATAGCTGGGATTGCAGGCACATGCCACCATGCCTGGCTAATTTGTTTTAGTAGAGACAGGGTTTCACTGTGTTGGCCAGGCTGGTCTTGAACTCCTGACCTAAAGTGAGCCAGCCACCTTGGCCTCCCAGAGTGCTGGGATTATGGGCATGAGCCACCACGCCCAACCTTGACCTCATCTTCTATTTCTCTTGTCCATTCTGTGCCAGCCATACTAGCCTTTTGGCTTTTCCTCAGAAAGGCCAAGCACTCCTACTTTGTAATCTTTGCACTGTTATCCCCTCCCTGAAATATTCTAGATATCCACAGCACTTGTTCAGATCTTTTAAAATGTCACTTTACTAGAGGCTCTTCCTGGCTACCCTATATGAAATAAATTCCTTCATTTTATTCCATAGCACTTAGATATTACATTATTTACTTCACCCATCTCCACCATATAAGGATACAACCCCCTTGAGGGCAGGGATATTTTAACATATCTCTAGTGCCTGAACAAAATCTGAAAAAAGTAGGATGGTCAATAAAATTTTGAATGACCAAATGGAACTTGTTGGGGACTCTATTAAATGCAAATCAAGTAAGCTAAATTAATGTACTTTCAGTCCAGAGAAAACGTTGCACAAAGAGTTACAGAGCAAACAGAAGGCATCATGGTACATCCAAACCAGGAGCCTGCAGTGATAGCTGGACAAGGGACAATTGCCCTAGAAGTGCTGAACCAGGTAAAACAGCCGAGTTCTTCCTGCTTAGCTACTGGTAAAGCTATTGGTCTATACTGTTATTTCATGTGTACACATTAAATATAAAACTGCCTCCTAATAGGCCTATTGACAGTTTATATTCTTTTCACTAAAGGTTCCTTTGGTGGATGCACTGGTGGTACCTGTAGGTGGAGGAGGAATGGTTGCTGGAATAGCAATTACAATTAAGGTGAGCAGCTCCTGGAGGAGTCCCTGCTTCAAGCAGAGGATTTATTTTACATCATGAATGTTTTGTATACGTGTGCTCAACATTCCACACCCATTACCATTCCTTCTCCTTATTCCTTTTTTTTTTTTTTTTGAGACAGAGTTTCACTCATGTTACCCAGGCTGGAGTGCAATGGCGCAATCTCGGCTGACTGCAACCTCCGCCTCCTGGGTTTAGGCAATTCTCCTGCCTCAGCCTCCTGAGTAGCTGGGATTACAGGCACGCGCCACCATGCCCAGCTAATTTTTTGTACTTTTAGTAGAGACGGGGCTTCACCATGTTGACCAGGATGGTCTCGATCTCTTGACCTCGTGATCCACCCGCCTCGGCCTCCCAAAGTACTGGGATTACAGGCTTGAGCCACCGCGCCCAGCCTTCTCCTTATTCCTTTAGCATGTAAGATGAAGGCCCTTCTCTGCCTCCCTACTCTATTATTTTTAATATTTTTATTTTTTAAGAGATGGAGTCTTGCTATGTTGACAAGGTTGGTCTTCAACTCCTGGGCTCAAGTAATCCTCCCAAAGTGCTAGGATTACAGGTGTGAGCCACTGCACCCAGCCAACTCTCTGTTTTTTTTTTTTTTTTTTTTTTGAGACGGAGTTTTGCTCGTTACCCAGGCTGGAGTGCAATGGCACGATCTTGGCTCACCGCAACCTCCGCCTCCTGGGTTCAGGCAATTCTCCTGCCTCAGGCGGGACTACAGGCACGCACCACCATGCCCAGCTAATTTTTTGTATTTTTAGTAGAGACGGGGTTTCACCATGTTGACCAGGATGGTCTCGATCTCTTGACCTCGTGATCCACCCGCCTCAGCCTCCCAAAGTGCTGGGATTACAGGCTTGAGCCACCACGCCCGGCTCCAACTCTCTTCTTAATCCACGACAGTTTTACAGCACAAAAGTAGTTACCATAAGGGACACTATCATAGTCTTTTCCCTGAATTCTACATCATCAAACTACTATCCATATCAGAGGGGTACCCTTTTCTCAAGTTACCAGGAGAATCAGATGTGATCCAAGCAACAGAAGGCTACTATCAGACAAATTATTTATTTATAAAGTGCTTGAAGATAGTTTCATTACATCCGTCAAAGGGAAGGCTCTTATGTGGGCAGAAGTGTATTACTTATTCTGCCTATTTTTTCCTTTCTTGAGATAGTCTTGCTCCGTTGCCCAAGTTGGAGTGCAGTGGCATGATCTCGGCTTACTGCGACCTCTGCCTCCTAAGTTCAAGCGATTCTCCTACCTCAGCTTTCCAAGTTGCTGGGATTATAGGCGCCCGCCACCACACCCAGATAATTCTTTTATTTTTAGTTGAGACTGCGTTTCACCATGTTGGCCAGGCTGGTCTCAAACTCCTGACCTCAAGTGATCCACTTGCCTCAGGCTCCCAAAGTGCTGAGATTACAGGTATGAGCCACTCCACCCGGCCCCTATTTTCTTTTAGATATGCAGGAAATGTTGTGGTTTGTTGTAAGATATCTTAATATTCTTATTCCCAGGCTCTGAAACCTAGTGTGAAGGTTTATGCTGCTGAACCCTTGAATGCAGATGACTGCTACCAGTCCAAACTGAAAGGGGAACTGATGCCCAATGTTTATCCTCCAGAAACCATAGCAGATGGTGTCAAATCCAGCATTGGCTGGAACACCTGGCCTATTATCAGGGACCTTGTGGATGATGTCTTCACTGTCACAGAGGATGAAATTAAGGTACGGCTCCGACAAGAAAAGAAATAACAAAGCATGGTGTAACTTCTTAGGCAGAGCCACCTTTTGTTATGAGTAGCAGCTGACCCGTGGCAACTTGACTAGATAACTTCATGACAGGAAAGGACCCTAGATGTATGAATGACAACCCTCTTGACAGAAGCAAAGTTAGAATGAAAGCAAAGTCTTGGCAAGCATGCATATGTACTGATAAGAAAATTCAAACTGGACATATATATATATATATACATATTCTCATCTGACTTTTTAAAGTAAACCAACTAGACTCCCTTTTGACTAATTCCTACTCCCTTCCGTATCAACAGCATGCAACTCAGCTGGTGTGGGAGAGGATGAAACTACTCATTGAACCTACAGCTGGTGTTGGAGTGGCTGCTGTGCTGTCTCAACATTTTCAAACTGTTTCCCCAGAAGTAAAGAACATTTGTATTGTGCTCAGTGGTGGAAATGTAGACTTAACCTCTGTAGCTTGGGTGAAGCAGGCTGAAAGGCCAGCTGCTTCTGTTTCTGTTTAATTTACAAAAAAGGAAATGGTGGGAATCAGTGTTTTTAGAAACTGAGGACATTTTGTTCCCTAGTCATTGTCAACTTTTCATCTTACCCTCTTAGTTATCAGATTCTTTATGGGTATTTCAGTAAGATTTAATACAGTTTTTTGGACTAAGTAGTAGAAAAACTTCCATACTTAACTGAGACATTTTGTCAAGGCCAAAAAATGTCTTGCAAAATGGGGTAGTGGACTGACAGGCCGATGCAGAAAATAAACTTTGCCCATCACTACTTGTGCCTCCCATCCCTGGAGTGCTGATGGGCACCAGTAAGACAAAATCTCTTTGAATCCGTTACTCCATTCCTCCTTGAGGCACTGTTGAAGAAATCTCACTTTTCACCCAGGGTACTGGTTCTGGTACATATGGATCATAAGTCCATTTGGGGAAGACTCGTTTATAGAGGTTCATCAGTACTGTGTCTTGAGATTTTAGCTTCCCATCAAAGCTGCATTTCATGTGGCCATGGGTACCTAGAAATAAAACAGAACAAGTTGGTCAAATTAAAAGTAGAAAATTTTAAAGCAATGACTTTCAACCCAATAGTCAATTAGTAACACTGCAGAAATCTAGACATGGTCCCGAATCCCATGTTTCCTTACCTAAAGGCTCCTTGATATGTCCTCTACGGCCCCACTTTGTTCTCAGTTCCACCGGTTTAAACCACAGCACATCCTCTTAGAATCAAACACACAAAAGACCAAGATGAAACACTGACCCACAAAGGCAATCAGATCCCCTCCTCCTCCTTCATACCTACCTCTGTTGAAGAACATGTAACGTACTACTGCCATCTTAGTAAAAATTTTGAAAGGATGACCACTCAGAACAACTCTCTTGATGACCATTCTGTCTGGATCCACTGACATAAGATGGCCCGTAGCAATGAGGCTGTGCATTCCTAAGGGACAAAAGCAAAGCAGCTAGTTAGGAAATTACAGGCCAAAGTCTTCATCTATTGTCCCAATCCACTTAAAGACCCATGCGATATTTTCTTGGGAGAAACCGTAAAGTTGTGTTGATGAGGCTGCCCTTTGTGGGATCACAGCAAAAACCACTCCATTTCATTCCTGCTAAGCCTGTCCCTGGAACCTATCCTAAATACATTCTGAGCAGCCTCTACCAATCAGCTAAGGTTTGTAAGCAAGATAAAACCTGGCTTGTCATCCCTGCCCTAGCCCACTGTGACACTAAGATTGGTAAACTGTAAGTCCACACTTAATCTTGTCAATAGGTTCTTGAAAACTTGCACGTTAAGAGAAATGATGTGTAACAAAACCATTTTTTTTCTCATCAATTATTACAATGAAAAGATGTTGACCAAAAGGCAGTTATTTGAAGACTGGCTATACATTGTTTCACTTAAAAGTTGCAGTTTTGGTCTGGCTGCAGTGGCATACACCTGTAATCCCAGCACTTTGGGAGGCAGGTGGATCACCTGAGGTCAGGAGCTCAAGACCAGCCTGGCCAACATGGTGAAACCCCCATCTCTACTAAAAATATAAAAAATTAGCCAGGTGTGGTGGCATGTGCCTGTAATCCCAGCTACTCAGGAGGCTGAGGCAGAAGAATCAATTGAACCCAGGAGGTAAAGGATGCAGTGAACGGAGACCATGCCATTGCACTCCAGCCTGGGCGACAAGAGCGCAACTCCATCTCAAAAAAAAAACTTGCAGTTTTCATTGTTCTATTAATTGTGTTAAGTGAAGACTTACTATATTTCGAAAACCATCACCACCTTCTCCATACCATTTGGTTCCCAAATCTCAACACAGAAGAGAAAAGAGTGTTAATCCTATTAAGGACCTGTAGGTCTGTTTACCTTGTGGCTCAACTCACCATTGCTTTTCTGCTTGAAAAGCAGCACAGATGCAGGAGGAAAAGTGATTGGTGCATATACTGTCACCACCAGGGCCATGTCAGCAGTCAGGAATCTCTGAAATTTATGTTTGTCCGCTGCCATAAGGGTTAAAAAACAAAAACCAAAAACATTTTGAGAAACCAGTGGTAATATAGAGGCCTGTGAAAAGCTGTGTTCGTGCAACTCTTAAACCTATGGCTGCTTCTACTTCTCTAATCTACCAGTTCTCAAACATTTTCCCTGCCTCAATACACCTAAAAGACGAAAATCTAGTCCTATCAGGTAACTTTTTTTTTTTTTTTTTGAGTTGGAGTCTTGCTCTGTCACCCAGGCCGGAGTGCAATGGCTTGATCTCAGCTCACTGCAACCGCCACCTTCTGGGTTAAGCAATTCTCCTTCCTCAGCCTCCCAAGTAGCTAGGATTACAGGCGCCCGCCACTACACCCCACCCGTCTAATTTTTGTATTTGTAGTGGAGATGGGGTTTCACCATATTGGCCAGGCTGGTCTCAAACTCCTGACCTTGTGATCTGCCTGCCTCGGCCTCTCAAAGTGCTGAGATTGCAGGCGTGAGCCACCATGACCAGCTGAAATCAGTAACTTTTTTCTTTTTTTTTGAGACAGTGTCTTGCTCTTGTTGCCCAGGCTGCCTCCTGGGTTCAAGCAGTTCTCCTGCCTCAGCCTTCCGAGTAGCTGGAATTATAGGTGCCCAATCAGTAACTTTTTTATCTGAAGGCAGAATCTTGGAGCTTAGACTGTATTTGGTGTTCCACCTTCAACATAACCCTCACCCCCTTTTTAAAATACTAGTTAGAGAAAAATACAATATTTGAAGGGAAAGAAAAATTAATCTCATTTAGACTGCATAATTGGTGAGAATAAAAATTATTCAAAACAACATTAATACTGCCTTCATATTCCTCCTGCAACAGCTGAGAGTAAGTGAGCTAGGACAATGTTCAGAAGCCCCCAAGTTAGTGGGCAACACATCTTCCTGCTCCTAACGTGTAGGAGTACAATCAATTTTGCCACAACACTTGTCTGGTAGTCTTTCAATTTCTCAGAAGCCCTACCTCTGCTTTACCCAACTATGAACCCACCCAGCTCCATCCCTTCACCCAGACTGCCCTTGGCACACTAGACACCAAAGTTTCCACACTTTATCACACCCTTTTAAATTTTTTTGAGAGACAGTCTCACTCTGTTATCTAGGCTGTTGTGCAGTGATGTGAACATAGCTCACTGCAGCCTCAAACTCCTGGGCTCGCTGGCTTAGGCAATCCTCTTGCCTCAGCCTCCCAAGTAGCTGAGACTACAAAGCATATGCCACCACGCCTGGCTAATTTTTTAAAATAAATTTTGGTTGGGCATGGTGGCTCACAACTATAATCCCAGCACTTTGGGAGGCTGAGGTGGGTAGAACACCTGAGGTCAGGAGTTCAAGACCAGCCTGGCCAACATGGTGAAATCCCATCTCTTCTAATAATACAAAATTAGCTGGGCGTGGTGGCACATGTCTATAATCCCAGCTCCCCAGCTACTTGGGAGGCTGAGGCAGAAGAATTGCTTGAACCTGGGAGGCAGAGGTTGCAGTGAGCCAAGATTGCACCACTGCACTTAGCCTGGGCGACAAGCAAAACTCTGTATCAAAAAAAAAAAAAAAAAAAAAAAAAAAAAAAAAAATTTTTTTGTAGAGGCCAGACATGGTAGCTCATGCCTGCAAATCCCAACACTTTGGAAGGCCAAGGCATGTGGATCACCTGAGGTCAAGAGTTTGAGACCAGCCTGGCCAACATGGAAAAACCCCATCTCTACTAAAAATACAAAAATTAGTTGGGCGTGGTGGCACTTGCTGGTGGTCCAAGCTACTCCGGAGGCTGAAGCACCAGAATCACTTGAACCCGAGAGGTGGAGGCTGCAGTGAGCAGAGATCATGCTACTGCACTCCAGCAGGGTGACAGAGCAGGACTCTGTCTCAAAAAAAAAAAAAATTGTAGAGACAAGAGTCTCACACCTGACCTCAAGCGATCCTCCTGCCTCAGTCTCTGGAACTGAGACTTTGATTTAGTTCCAGTTCTAAGGATCTGCCTTTACAAAATAAGCAAAGAAGTAAACAACATTTTATGCATACAGATATAATTCAGGGCAAAATATTAGAAATAGCCTAAGTGAGGCTGGGCGCGGTGGCTCATGCCTGTAATCCCAGCGATTCAGTAGGCCAATGCAGGCAGATCACGAAGTCAGGAGTTCAAAACCAGTCTGGCCAATTGGGGAAACACCATTTCTACTAAAAACACAAAAATTAGCCAGGCGCAGGGTGGCTTGCGCCTATAGTCCCAGCTACTCAGGAGGCTGAGGCAGAAGAATCACTTTAACCTGGGAGGTGGAGGTTGCAGTGAGCTGAGATCATGCCACCGCACTCCAGCCTGGGCAACAGAGCAAGACTCAGTCAAAAAAAAAAAAAAGAAGAAGAAGAAATAGCCTAAGTGCTCACACATAGACAGTCAAATAAATATCAGTACATCACATATACCAGAATATATGCAAATGACAACAAAGCCTTAAAAGTCTCATTTAGCTGGGTGTGGTGGTATGCACCTGTAATCCCAGCTACCTGGGAGGCTGAGGCAGGAGAATCACTTGAACCCAGGAGGCAGAGGTTAAAGTGAGCTGAGATTGCACCAGTGCACTCCAGCCTGGGTGGCAGGGCATCTCAAAAAAAAAAGTCATTAATTAATCTTATGGAAAATTGATCAAAATCAACTAAGTGATAAATGCAATGTTTAACACCATATTTACAATTACAATCCCAATTGCATTTAAAAAAAAAAAAGAGATCTAGATGAAAATGTATAAAGTAATAATGAATTTTCTAAGGTAATTTTATTTTTACATTATTTTCCCAGTTGTCTAAAATATGAAAATAGTTATTTCATCCTTAAAAAAAAATCAGAACTATTTTGAAACAATAAGAGGATGATTAAATCTTGGCGCTTTTTTTCATCTTTAATTCACCCATTCTAATGCCAGTTTTGGCATTATATGTGTGAGTCACTGCACCCAGCCTAATGCCCTTTTTATAAAGCTGCCAACTTCTACTCAAAACCTACTCTGGAACAAATATTCATGGCAAAAAAGCCTCAGTACAACACAGGTTGCATCACTAGGATGCTTCAGACAGGTTCAGACATTTTGAGTAAAAACATCATTGGCTCTTTAGCCAGAGTATGGAGAATACCTCTAATCCAGAGATATAAGATTTTGAAACTGACCCTTCTGCACCCCTTCACCACAAGTCAGTTTCCCAAAAGACAAGACGGACAAGAACCCAGGTTCCCCACCGCTAACCTGCAGTGTGCTGAGAAAATAA